ATGTTAGCTATAAGTTTTTTGTAGATGTTCATTATCAAGTTGAGGAAGTTCTCTCTTCCTAGTTTACTGAGATTTTTTTAATCATGGATAGGTGCTGGATTTTGTCAGATACCTTTTCTGCATCTATTGATACTTTCATGTGACTTTAACCTCTTTAATTTGTTAATGTAATGGATAACATTAATTGATTTTCGAATGTTGAACCACCCTTGCATACCTGGGATAAATTCCACTTGATTGTGGTGTATTTCTTTTTAATACATTCTTGGATTTGATTTACTAATATTTTGTTGAGGATTTTTGCATCTGTGTTCATGAGAGTTATCAGTCTGTGCTTTCTTTTCTTGTAATGTCTTTGTATGGTTTTGGTATCAGGGGAATGCTGACTTCATAGAATGAGTTAGGAGGTATTCCCTCTGTTTCTATCATCTGGAAGAGATTGTAGAAATTTTGTATTATTCCTTCCTTAAATGTTTAAAAGAATTCAGTGGTAAACTTATGTGGGCCTAGTACTTTCTGTTTTAGAGAATTATTAATTATTGATTCAATTTCATTAAGAGATAGAGGCCTATTCAAGTTGTCTACTTTTTTTTTTTTTTTTTTTTTGCGGTACACGGGCTTCTCACTGTTGTGGCCCCTCTCTGGATGCGCAGGCTCAGCGGCCATGGCTCACAGGCCTAGCCGCACCGCGGCATGTGGGATCTTCCCAGACGGGGGCACGAACCCGTGTCCCCTGCATCGGCAGGCGGACTCTCAACCACTGCGCCACCAGGGAAGCCCTGTCTTCTTTTTTATATTAGAGTATAGTCGCTTTACACTGCCATGTCAGTTTCTGCTGTACAGAAAAGTGAATCGGCCATACATATACATATACTTTTTAGGTTTCCTTCCCATGTTTACTTCTTGTGTGTGTTTTAACAGATTGTGTATTTCAAGGAGTTGGCCCACTTCATCTAGGTTATCAAATGTTGGACATAAAATTGTTCATAATGTTCCTTTATTATCCGTTTAATGTTCATAGGCTCTATAGTGATATCCTCTCTTTCATTTTGGACATTAGTAGTTTGTGTCTTCTTTATTTTTTTCTTAGTTAAACTGGCTAGAGGTTTATCAATTTTACTGAAAGAACCAGCTTTTGGTTTCATAAATTTTCTGTTGAGTTCCTATTTTCTATTTAATTGATTTCTGATCTATTTTTATGATATCTTTTCTTCTGCTTACTTTAGATTTAATTTGCTCTTCTTTTTCTAGGTTCCTAAGGTGGAAGCTCAGATAATTGATTTTAGATCTTTCTTCTTTTTAGATCTTTTCTAATCTATGTATTCAATGCTATACATTTCCCTCTAAGCATGGCTTTCACTGCATCTCACAAATTTTGAGAGTTGTGTTTTTATTTCCATTTATTTCAAATATTTTTAAATTTCTCTTGAGATTTCTTCTTTGACTCGTGCCTTTTAGATGTGTGTTGTTTGATCTCCAGGTATTTTGGAATTTTCCATGTATCTTTCTGTTATTGATTTCTAGTTTAATTTCATTGTGGTCTGATAGCATACCTAGTGTGATTTCTATTCTTTTAATGTGTTCAGATGTGTTTTATGATGCAGAATGTGATCTATCTTGGTGCATGTTGCATGTGTGCTTGAGAAGAATGTGTAATCTGCCTTTGTTAAATGAAACAGTCTATACGTGTCAACTGTATCCAGTTAATTTATGGTGCTGTTGAGTTCAACTGTGTCATTACTGATATTCTTCCTACTGGATTGTTCCACTTTTGATAGAGAGGTATGAAGTCTCTATAATAGTGGATTCATCTATTTTTTCCTTGCAGTTCTACCAGGTTTTGCTTCACTTATTTTGACACACTATTGTTAGGCTCATACACATTGTTTGTCATGTCTTCTTGTAGTACTAACCCCTTTATCACTATGTAATGCCCCTCTTTAGCCCTGATAACTTTCCTTGGTCTGAAGTCAGCTCTGTCTAAAATTAATATAGCTACTTTTACTTTTTTTTGATTAGTGTTAGCATAGTGTCTTTCTCCATTCCTTTACTTTTAATCTATATGTATATTTATATTTAAAGTGTGTTTCTTAAAGATACCACTATAGTTGTTTCTTGTTTTTTTATCACTCTGACAATCTCTGAATTTTAATTGTATTTAGACCACTGATGTTTAAAATGATTATTGATGTAGTTGGATTAATATCCACCATATTTGTTACTGTTTTCTATTTATTGCTCTTGTTCTTTGTTCTTCCTTTTGTCTTCTACACTTTCCCAGCCCTTTGTGGTTTTAATTGAGCATTTTATATGATTCTACTTTCTCTTCTTTGTTAGCATATTGGTTATACTTCTTTTTTATTACTTTTTTAGTGGTTGCTCTAGAGTTTGCAATTTACATTTATGACTAATCCAAGTCCACTTTCAAATAACACTATACCAGTTTGTGGGTAGTGCAAATACCTTATGATAACATAATCCCAATTCCTTCCTCCCATTCCTTGTATCATTGCTGTCATTAATTTCACTTATACATAAGCGCACGCACGCATACACACACACACACACACACACGCATACATAATTGAACACATTGTCAGTATTATTTTGAACAAACTATTATCTGTTAGCTCAAGAATAAGAAAAATTAAAGTTTTTATTTTGCCATCACTTTTTCCTTCTTTAATGTTCTTCCTTTCTTTATGTAGATCCAAGTTTCTGACTTATGTCATTTTTCCTCTGTCTTAGGAACTTCTTTTAACATTTCTTGCAAGGCAGGCCTAATAGCAACAAATTCCCTCAATTTTTCTTTGAGAAAGTATTTCTCCTTCACTTTTGAAGGATAATTTCACAAGGTACAGAATTCTAAGTTGGTGAATTTTTTTTTCTCTTAACACTTTGACTATTCTCTCTATTCTATTCTTGCTTGCATGATTTCTGAGGAGAAGTAGCATGTAATTCTTATCTTTGATTCTCTATAGGTAAGGTGTTTTTTTCCTCTGGCTTCTTTCAATATTGTTTCTTTCTCTTTGATTTTCTGAAATTTGAATGTTATATGTTTTGGCATTTATCCTGCTTGATGCTCTCTGAGATTCCTGGATCTGTGGTTTGTTGTCTAACATTAATTTAGACATGTTCTCAGTCGTTATTATTTTACATATTGTTTCCGTTTCTCTCTTTTTTCTCCTTCTGATATTCTCATTATGTATACATTACATCTTTGTAATTGTCTCACAATTCTTGCATTTTCTGTTCTTGGGGGGGTAATTTTTTTTCTTTTTTCTTTTCAGTTTAGGAGGTTTCTATTGTCATATCCTCAAGCTCAGAAATTCTTTCCCCAGCCATGCCCAATCTACTAATAAGTCCATCAAGGGGATTTTTCATTTCTGTTAGTGTTTTTGATCTCTGGCGCCATGCAGCTTGTGGGAATCTTAGTTCCCCAACCAGGGACTGAAACTGGGCCCTCAGCAGTGAAAGCACATAGTCCTAACCACTGGACCACCAGCAAATTCCCAATAATAGTTGTTTTAAATTCCCTGTCTGATAACTCCAACATTTCTGCCATATCTGACTCTGGTTCTGATCCTTGTTCAGTTTCTTCAAACTATGTTTTTTAGTATGCCTTGTAATTTTTTGTTGAAATCTGGACATGATGTACTAGGTGAAAGGAACTCTGTTAAATAGGACTTTTGTGGTATTGTGGTAAGATGTGGTGGGAGGAGAATCATGTTATAGTCCTATGATTAGGTCTCAGTCTTTTAGTGAGCCTATACCTCTGGACTTTGAACTTCACAAGTGTTTCTCAGTTTTTTCTCCCCCTTTAGGTGGGACAGAATGGCTAGAGGGGTCTGGAGCTGGTTGGTTCCCTGGGTTGGTTAGGCTCTGGTACTACCCCAGTATGTTAGGCTATGGTAAAATCATTTCTTCTGAAGGCAGCCCTTTTAAAGAAGAATATGATGCTCTGGCATATCTCAAGAGGGATTCTTTTTCCCCTCCCCTGCTGGAAGCACATAGGAATTTTTCTCCAGTGTTCACTCTGAGGACCAGGTGGAGCCCCTGGAGATAAAACTCACAAAAGTGTAGGGACCTAGCTATGACTGGGTCTCCCTGGAGTTTTTAACTCTCAGACTTATTTACACTGAGCCTACAGCAAATTGCCAAGTACAGTTTAGGTTTTCCTACCTTGGCACTGTTTCCTGTGGCAATATCTGCTCATGGGTTTCTGTTCTGGTAAGTTGTGATTCTCTATATTCACCTGTTTGTCTCTCCAATTTTGGGTATATGAGTTTGCCCTCTTACTTCACTCCTCTGTTGTATCTAAGAAGAATTGTTGGTTTTTTTCAGCTTGTTCAGCTTTTTACTTGTTGTTAGGATGGAGTGGTGACTTCTAAGCTCCTTAAATGCTAGACCATAAACTGGAAGTTTTTTTTCTTTTGGCCTCATTGCACGGCTTGTGGGATCTTAGTTCCCCAACCAGGGATCGAACCCGGGCCCTCAGCAGTGAAAGCGCAGAGTCCTAAGCACTGGACCACCAGGGAATTCCCCAGGAAGTCTTGTGTCTTAATTTTTACATTTACCTTTCCTCTATAGGATCAGTTAAGGCTGCATTTTTAAAAAATAACTGTCAGCCAAATTATTGTGTGGACAGTCATCAGTTCAAGACGATTAGCCTTCTATTTTATTATTACAGGCTCTTATTATTTGCAGCATTTCAAGTAAAAGTAACTGATGTTACCTAGAAATATTTTAGTGATGTTTGAGGTGAAGAATTTGAAACACAATGAGGACTTTTGTGTGTTGGAATTCTGTGTTCATTTACAAAAACGAGTCTTTGTGCTTTTGTGTCCATCTCTTGCTACCATGGCCAACTCAGATCTAAAGTTTCTCATTGAGAAGCTTTTTATACATGTCAATTTAAAACACCAAGTTTTCATGGTACTAAGGTGAACCACAACGGAATCTGGATATATGGTTTTTACTCCTTTGTATTGATTGTTTAGCCTTAGTATCACAGGCAGAAGCTCTGAAAGAAGAAAATGACAGCCTCCGTTGGCAGCTTGATGCCTACCGGAATGAGGTGGAACTGCTAAAGCAAGAACAAGGCAAAGCCCACAGAGAAGATGACCCAAACAAGGAACAGCAGCTGAAACTCCTGCAGCAAGCCCTGCAAGGAATGCAACAGGTAAAGACATTTTGGTCCTCTGAGCTTTTTGGAAGGATAGTAATCAGCTCCTCACTTGTAAAAGGGCCCCCACAAGCAAATAGAATAGCAAACCTCTTATTTTCTTGGTATTGTGTTCTCTGGCATGGCTGAGGAAGGGATTATCTATTGTAGTTCATGAAATATTCTGGTAAATGCAGAGATAGCAATGGATCACCAATTTTCAAAGAATGTGCATTCAGTAAAAAATACTTAACAATAAAACTACACTGAGCATAACCTAATCTTTTCTTTATGCTACGGAATGTACTTTGGGATCTGGACAGGGTCTCAAAGTCATTATGACGAACCTTAATTACTTAGATATGCAACAGTGCTGGTGAATAAGTATCTAGCTGACACAATGCTAAATAATACAGTCTTTTAGAAGAAATGGCGAGAATCCTACCCTTGATTTGGTTGGAAGGAGGGGTGTTATGGGTTTTTCAGTATCAGTGCTTTTGGGCACATAATACCAATGTGCTTTTGTTTTGTTTTGTTTTCAGTCATTTATGTGAATGAGTTTACCAGCACTTTATCCCAAGTATAAAAAGTAAAGTAAATAAGTGCATCCAACTGTAATTGCATTCAAATACAACATTGTGTAACAGATGGTCAATATCTAGAAGTTTTATGTAACCACCACAGCAAGCCTACTATTTAAAAGATATCAACATCTGTTTCCATTATAGTAAAGGAGTAGTACTTCTGAGTAAGGGTACTATCCTCTTCTGTCTTGCCAGACTACCAGCCATTTTCCTCACAACTTAAACTGTCCAATAATTTTTTAATTGTGTGCCTTGGAATTATCTAGGGCAAAGCTTATTGATGTTTAGAAATCACAAATTGTGAACAGGGAGTCTCTTCTGGCACTAAGAGCCCCATGTTCCTATTACTTCTGCTATCATTGTCTTCCTACGTGACAAGCAATATCACATTAATATTTCACCTTTCCTATTAACAAAATGTGATGCTATGTGATGCTATGCTATGTGATGTGAAGTAATGCTTACCTTCCTTTTACTGTCACCGTGGAGTTTAATTAGATCAGGGATCTAGTTTAATTACATCAAATATCTTTCCACCAAAAAATACATCTCCTCAGCTAGACTTCAAAGAATTTCAACCATGTACATCGTACTGTGTCTTTTAGCTCTCCCAATGGTCTTTTGCAAGCCTCTGAAAAGCAAAACTTTGAAAACATTTTCTTGTTGTTTTCCCCTCTTACCTTGATTTGAAACCACTCCACATAAGAATGGAGTGGTTCAATTTAAAACTAGTGAACTTTTTTTTCATTCCATCACTTCAAAAACTTCGGTGAGACAATTAGGTCTCTACCTCCTGAAAAATTAATTTTACTCATTTTGATTACTTTTTATTGGACAGTAGCCTTGTAAACAATGGTAAAATTTCTCCCATCTTATCCCCGATAGATGTATAGTATGTATAGTATGTATATAGTATGTATAGTATGTATATATGTATAGTATGTATAATATGATGGTTAAGAGCATGGGCTGTGGGGTTGACTCAACCTGGGTTTAAATCCCAGCTCTGGCACTGACTATCTGAATAGTCTTAGGCAAACCATTAAACCTCTCTAACCTTCAGGCTTATGTATCATAGTTTTATTGTGAGGCTTAAATGAGATCATGCATATGAAACCCTTTGCCCAATACTTGGCACATGTTAGATGCTAAATACATAGTATTTGTAGTAATCATTAATGATGAATCCAGTTCCTTGCCTACTGATAAGGGAACTAACATTTGTGAAATTTGGATTCTTTACTACTTTTCTCACAGAAGTTGAACTTGGCTTGGAAAATGGCTATTTGTAAGAATGCTTTACACATCAAGTTCAGTTCTATGCCAAAATCAAGATATTGTCCACATAGTATTAACTGCACCCTACCCTTACGTCTGGCTGGAATAGGAAAGTTAAGTGATTAGATCAATTAGTTTCTCAGACTCTTTCTAAAATATGAACAAATCCAAAAGATTCATAAGAGCCAGATAAAATAACTTCAAGTGAAAAGTATCTTGATTTTCCCTTTAGTATCTTTGCATGGAGAAATGGTTGTGTGTACTGGGGGAAAGTGAGGCAGGCCTGCCTAATATCTAACTTCAGCCAGTGTTTTTAAGTGAAGTGTGGCTTCTTAAGACTTGATTGTCTTTGGTCTTTCTTGTAGCATCTACTCAAAGTCCAAGAGGAATACAAAAGGAAAGAAGCTGAACTTGAAAAAATCAAAGATGACAAGTTACAGGTGGAAAAAATGTTGGAAAATCTTAAAGAAAAGGTACATGAGTACTAAGTGACCCTTTTCCCTTTCCCCCCTTCCCCCTTTTCAGTGACAATGAAAATGCCCTGGAAGCTCCTACCAATAGGTATCAATGTGGAATGGTTGGTTGATTGGGGATTAAAAGCCCTTCTCCAGGGTAATTCTTGAATCAAGGGCTCTGCTTTTAGGTATGAGTCCTTGGCATTTCTAAAGGTTCTGGAGAGTACACTTCTCAATGAATAAAATGTCCATCCATCCCTAACATTCCTCAGTCTTCCTTCTTGGAGAAGATCAGAGTATACACCTCATCCCTGCTTCATCTAGTCAAGGAAATAACAACATAGAAAGCCCGTGTGACACAAAATACTTTCAATTAAGCATTTCATTAAACGAAGGAACACAAGTACAACAGAACATTGACATGTCTTTGCCGACACTCCATCTAGTGTAATAATGAGCTGCTGCAGGTTGAAACAGCCAAAACCAAAAGGGGGGAAACTTAGAAAGCAAACAAGGAGACACATTATTCTAAAGCTAGATAATAGCAACTGGGAAGGCAAAATGGGACTTTGCCTAATGAGAGCCTGCAGCCATAGAACCTCCAGTGAGGACCTCTGAGAAAGTCTACGAACTTCTAGATAGATTAATGTATCTCAACCATGCATCTGGTGCCCAGTCTATTTAAGGTATGTAAAGTCTACTGATGGCGTCTCCCTGTCACACCTCTCTAATTTCCTTTATGCCTGAACATTCAAGTGAACTTATCCTCTGGAAAGAAAGGCCCATTGACCATAGCTGCCTGACTTAATGTCTCAGAAGAAAGAGAAGATTAGGGGACTTCCCTGGTGGCGCAGTGGTTAAGAATTTGCCTGCCAATGCAGGGGACACGGGTTCGAGCCCTGGTCCGGGAAGATCCCACATGCTGCGGAGCAACTAAGCCTGTGCACCACAACTACTGAGCCTGCGCTCTAGAGCCCATGAGCCATGACTACTGAGCCCACATGCCACAGCTGCTGAAGCCCGCTTACCTGGAGCCTGTGCTCCGCAATGGGAGAGGCCACCTCAATGAGAGGCCCACGTGCCACAGTGAGGGGTGCCCCCCCTCACTGCAACTGGAGAAGGCCCACGTAGCAACGAAGACCCAGCACAACCAAAAATAAATAAAGAAAAATAACAAAGAAAAAAAAAGAGAGAGAGAAGATTAGGAGCTTAGACCAAGAGCCAGAAATCAATTCCACAGTTCTACGGTTCCACAAGAGCTCGTACTTTTGCTCTTCTGTGCTCAGGGCAGGAAGATTCAATGCATACAGGCCCTGGGTGTGTTTGCCAGCATAGTGACTTCCCCCAGAGTGCCATTAAGAACTGGCAACCTGGGGGCTTCCCTGGTGGTGCAGTGGTTGAGAGTCCGCCTGCCGATGCAGGGGACACGGGTTCGTGCCCCAGTCCGGGAAGATCCCACATGCCGTGGAGCGGCTGGGCCCGTGAGCCATGGCCGCTGAGCCTGCGCGTCCGGAGCCTCTGCTCCGCAACGGGAGAGGCCACAGCAGTGAGAGGCCCGCGTACCGCAAAAAAAAAAAGAACTGGCAACCTTGGTGTAATTGAAACAAATGATTGAAAGTGTGAAGTGTTTTCTTCCGGAGGCCATTTGCAATATGCTTTTAATTTTTCCACTTCATAAAACCAACTCACTTTCCAGTTTTGTGGGTGTTATTAAAGAAATGAGCATAATCCCAGACAAATTCAGTTATCAAGCATTTAATTGAAAAGTGCCAAAGCTGCTCTATTTAGCAGGACTTTCCTCATACGATCAGAGCTTCTAAAATGTCCCAGAGCTGCTACTTAGCTCTGTTTCCCTTCTTGCATAAGATGGAGTGTGTGTGTAGTGTAGCCAGAAGACTCTAGATGAACGTGGGGTTATCCTAATGACATCAAGCTTAAAATCACTCTTCAGGATTGACATCACAAATTGACTTGAGGACATTTTCGTGTAAGCAGCTCTCTGCTTTGTAAAGTATTTCATTTAAAGAAGTGAAGGGTCAAATGGCATTGAAAAATCTTGCAATATTATACCTGAGTCTAAGTGTTTCCCATTTGCAACTAAATATACCTTGAAGTGGCAGCTAAAGAGGACAGGGAGAGAAATCCAACTGATAATCAGAAAAATGTGAGTCAGAATATGTTTCTGTCCTGTTATTTTAAGTGAGGTTTCCTTCAGGGAAAGTCATGACAGTTCATTATAATCTGATCTTCTCTGGGAAGCTGATTTGTGACCAAATATTTCAAACTGTCACAATTAGGTTAGGAAGCAAAGTACCATCACATTAGACTGCAAAAATAATTCCAGGTTGAAAGGAAAGCAATAAGTTTTGGTGAGGAAGGACATTTTTTCTTTTTGTTTGGGTTTCTTGACAGTAAACCACAGTGTGAGTTATTGTCAGTGTTTTGCAATATAACAATGTGACTTATGTCTGTCTTACTGCAGAAAGAACTAGCTCTTGGAATCTGCTAGTAAAATTCAAGGTGATGTCATGAACCCTCCCTTGAATTCTGATCGCCCATTTCCTACTACCTTATTGGCCATTCTACCCTTAAAAGAGCCATTAAACTTTTTTTTCCAGTTTGTTTCCTTTTCATTTATTTTTAATTTAACATTTTAACTGTGTGCTTCTGTTTAAATGAAGTTTATGTTATAAACACTCTGAGATCATTCCATTATTTCCAGTTTTAGGAAAATACTATTCCTCTCTTTTCTGTAACTGTTGAATATGCTTCATAGTAATTCATAATGTTTTATTTTTATTATTTTTCATGATTAATACTGTCATCTGTGAAATTAGTTGTTTTATTTGTGGGGATCTAATTTTTTCTGAATTGATGATGTATCTTAATAAAGCAGCTTCATATTTGTTTATAAAAAAATTCAAGGTGATAAGCATCCCTTCAATATACCTTCTAATTTTTTAAATGCCAGCTATAATAAAACTGAAGTCAGGTTTCAGTAAGGCTACATTTTGATTCAAGATGGCTAAAACTTCTCAGGACGTCTACATATCTTAAATGAACCCCAATCTGTTAAACTCTCACACTTAAGAAATGGCTTGCTGGATCATTTAATGTTTTAAGGGGGTTAGAAGCACATGTACAGCCCGTGGCTTAGAAGTGAGCCAGCAGTTTAAATCAAACTTGGCATGATGGTTACTGACTGAATTGGATTCTAAAGACCAAAGATTGAATAGGTCATCAAGAAAGGTTTCCCTTCTGACTACAGCCTGGAAGCCTGTAAATCCACAAAACAACATGTCTTGCAGCAAAGACCATTAGTTTCATTCAGGGGCAGCATCCTGGAAGCTTTGAAGGCATCTTTAAAGAAAAAAGAAGGAAACCTGTCCCTGCTGAGGGCTTTTGGAAGGAAAGAAGTGATGAAGCATCCGAGTCATCCATGATCTGCTCCCCCCTCCGGAACATTTCCCCAGCACTCTCTTTTACAACAGCAGCGAGACTGAAGCACTGATTTCTTTTATTCCTTCTTCTGAAGGCTCCTGCTTCACATTTATAATACAGAAAAGATGTTCTCAGTACCCAAAGAGAGAAAGAAAAACCCGAGAACGGTCTGGAGGCATTTTTCAGTTTGGCTGCTGGTCATGGATTTCACCTGAGTATCTCTTATGAAACATACCCACTATGCTCAGAAAGAGAAAACTTTCAACAACAAAGAAGTCCACTGTCATGGTCATTTCTTGCTGTAAAGTCATAAATATCCTAATTGATAATGTCCTTATCAGAGAAAAGAGAGAGCTGATAGTCAATAAATAGAGGCTCTAATTTTTAGTTCAAGAGCCAACAGTTGATTACCTGTGAGTGGATCGGCCACACTGTAGATTCTCCATTCCAATATGGGACTGACCTTTAGCATAGTGTGGACCTAAAATAAAAAAGAATGGTCCTGGGCTTCCCTGGTGGCGCAGTGGTTGAGAGTCCGCCTGCCGATGCAGGGGACACGGGTTTGAGCCCTGGTCTGGGAAGATCCCACATGCCGCGGAGCAGCTGGGCCCGTGAGCCATGGCTGCTGAGCCTGCGCGTCCGGAGCCTGTGCTCCGCAACAAGAGAGGCCACGATAGTGAGAGGCCCGCGAACCGCAATGAAGAGTGGCCGCCTCTCGCCACAACTAGTGAAAGCCCTCGCACAGAAACGAATACCCAACACAGCCAAAAATAAATTAATTAATTTAAAAAAAAAAAGAATGGTCCTTTTCACATTGGGTGGCCTGGGATGAAATCCTGGCTCTACCATTTTCTAGCAATGTGATCTTAGACAAGTTACCTGATTTATCTGAGCCTCACCTTCCTCACCTGTAGAATGGAGATAAAACATACCTAACAGTACCTGGCATCTTACAGACAATAAATGTTGGGTCTGGTTCCCCAGACTACTTGCATAGAGTCAAGAATGATAAAGGCAGAAGGGAAAAAAAAGACTAGTGAAGATGAATGTCTAAATTTTTGTGTGTGTTTTGAAGGCTTATAAGGAAGCTTTGGATTATTGGTGATGCTTTTGTAATTTATGCTATTTTTCCTCCCATTCAATAAGCAAAATTGCACAATATTGCTTTCGAGGTGCCGTTAAGAAGTTCCCTGCTGTATAATTGAAACCAAGTCTGTTACCATATAAGGTGCACTGACCCAGGAGACATATTATTCCCACAGGAAAGCTGTGCCTCTAGACTGTGTGCATCGAGCCAGGATAGTGACTACCCTCTGGAGAAGACCCTGAACAGCTGTCCTATCAAATCTGAACGCGAAGCACTGCTAGTGGGTAAGGAAGCTAACACACACATTCAACGGATAGAGTGCAGTGGAGTGGGGGGAAGGATTAACCTAAGATGCATAAGCACATGCCAAGCATTTATGAAGCATGACAGTGCAAGGACCCAGAGTCCTGAAGACAACAGGGTAAGAACAAGTACAGATTTCAATCAAAACGGTAATAGCGGCTCCCAGCCCTCTTCAAACTCCTGGTGACCACTGCCACATCCAGTGTGTCAGTATAAGTGCTATGCTAAGAGGGGGTCCACTGGAGAAACACGTTGTAGATTTTTTAAATCTCTAAGCAAAGATAGGTGAGCCCTCTCACTCCCACTCAAGGGACAGTGCAGACATTGTTTGGCAGAGAGCTTCTCCAGATGGGCCTCCGGAGAAGGTGTGTGTCTCTCTCCTGTCTTTCTAGGTTACTGGCAGGTGACTCAGGAGGCTGTCTGTGGGGTGTTGGACCCTGGTGGGCTCTGATGAGATAAATGCTACAATTGCTCTCGTTACATAAAATTTTTTTCACAGAGGCAAGATAGCATAAGTGGTTAATGAATCAGACAGAACTGGCTTTCTGTCTTGACCCCACCATTTCCATCCTGAGCTTCAGTTCTTCCGTCTGCAAAATGGGCATAATAATATTACCTGTCTAAAAGTAGCTGCAAGTATTAAATACGACAATTCATCTAAATCACTAAACACAGTGCCCAGCCCATAGTAAGCCCTCAATAAATGAGACACATTTTGCACTTACAGCACTATTCACAAATGCTTGTTGACTTTATATTCTATTTGGAGAACAGTGGCAGATTGAGCCCCTTTAAAATGACTAAAATATTCAGTCATTTAAAAGGGGCTAATCTTGGGCCTCAGCAGATAATCCCAGCTGCCTTCTAGGAAGCTGAGCCACACTGTAGCCTCACCCCAATCTCAAAAGTTCTCCACACTAATTAGCTTCTGCATATTTTAAAGATACATCCGCCTCCTTCAGTAATGGATATTGTACTCAGATTTAACACTTTGATATGTTAATAAAGATGCACAGGGGGATCTGCCAGTGAGTCTTCAAGAAGAGTGACAACTTATTTCCGTTTTCGAACTCAAAGTTCTTTAACAAATTGGCATGGCAACAGGGAGACCTGTCAGAGAAGAGCTATGGGTAGGAGGAAACCTCTGTAAATGGATAGTTCTAGAAACAAAGATTCTTAAGTGTTTAGTGTTTTGCTTTTTAAAGAAAGTAGTCTTGAACTCACAGAAAGGAAAATCTATTTTTTAAATTGGTTATTTGGGTGTGAACCCACAAAAACTGCTTCGTATTTTGAAATCTATGGAGTTACTTCTTGGCATTTGACAGGATTTCTTGACCATAGTATCTAGAATTCCTTTGAATATGGACTGTCTTCTTCAGAATTTAAGTTTCTCAGCTTGAGTCAGTGTTTAGAAATTCAATTTACCAAGTCATTAAGAGTAAAGTAGGGCTTCCCTGGTGGCGCAGTGGTTGAGAGTCCGCCTGCCAATGCAGGGGACGCGGGTTCGTGTCCCAGTCTGGGAAGATCCCACATGCCGCGGAGCGGCTGGGCCCGTGAGCCATGGCTGCTGAGCCTGCGCATCCGGAGCCTGTGCTCCGCAACGGGAGAGGCCACAGCAGTGAGAGGCCCGCGTACCGCAAAAAAAAAAAAAAAAAGAGTAAAGTAGTGTTATAAGTAATAGTATCCATTTTGAATAGAGTTTTGAACCCTACCATCAGTTCCTCCTGGATCCTCCAACCCACCCGCTTGCCATCTAATATTGGAGGACTTTTACAGAGAACTTATTTGAACTTTAAGCTACAATTTAAACTTGTGATATTCTTTGTCAGGTGCTTAAAGGGATATAGACAAGTTATAGTTTATAAACCAAATCAAATTTAGCTTTTATTTCCTAGCAGTTTTCAGCAAACTAAGTTCTGGGTCTGTTTGATATACCTAAGATCTTATGAAAGGAGAGGAATTCAAAAAAAAAAAAAAGAAAAAACAGTAGACTTTTGAACAATTTATATGCTGCCTGTTGCCAGAGAAAGAAGTAGTATTAGCAGAATTAACCTGGTGGCCAGAATAATCAAGGCAGTATGTGTAGCTGCCAATCACTCCAGAGTTAGAAATCATGCACATCCCTGGAGGCTGTAAATTGCTATAAGAATTCTGTTACTTGAAGAGATTCAGGGCTCTGAGGACAAACAGAATGCTAGTCACCACTTGAATGAAGGAAATGTTTGGCTTTTCTTTACAGACCTACTCACGGAATAAAACCCAAATACAATCAGCAGATTCTCTTGTGAGAGGCACAAGGTTAATCAGGCAAAGTACATGATTTGTACTTTTGCCACAACAGCAAGACATTATTAAATGCATAAGAGGCTAAAATCCAATTTAAAGATGGTTCAGAGGAACTGCAAAAACCCAGCACAATCTAAAGTCATTGTAAAAGTCTAAATTCATTGTAAAACGTAGAACTCAAATGGCGTTTAGCCATCATGAATGATGGAAGTGACTCCTCAAATGCCAGATTTTCTGCATGCGGTATAGTGCAGTGAGAGGCAATACACATAGTGGTTGAGAGCAACTGTCTGGATTCAAATACCTGCCACTTACCAGCTGTGTGACCTTGGGCAAGTTGCTTAAACTTTCTGTGGCTCAGTGTCTTCTCATCTGTGAAATGGGGATGGTAGGTAATACCTACCTCACAGGGTCGTTGTAAAGATTAAATGTGTAAAATACATATAAACTTAGAATAGTGCCCAATACATATGATGTACATATGAGTTGACTCTTGCTAGACGCTATCATGTGGCATCTCAACGAATACAATGCTCAAGTGTAACCTCCATGCTATTGTCTCTATAGGGATTATCTCCACATTCCTTCATGTCCACCCATTTGGAGCAAGCATTGAATATATCTGCTCCTACTTGCACCGTCTTGATAATAAGGTATGTGGGGGCCTGAGATGGCCATGCAAGGCGATGTAGGGTTCTTTGTGAACAGGTGGCCTCACTCTCCTCAAGCACAAATAAGTCATTAGCAATCAGTGTAAGGAAATTTCCCTCACCTATTCTCTCACTGTGATTCAGCGTAAAGTTTCTCTCTTGCTAATAGGGTGACCGTCTGTCCCTGTTTGCCTGGGACTGAAGGGTTTCCTGGGACTTGGGACTTCTAACGCTGACACCGGGGAAGTCCCGGGCAAACCTGAATGAATTGGCCACCCTACTTCCAAGATATATCTTAGAAGAATTTTCCTCCTTTTACTTTACATATCATATGCTAATTAACAAATATTTCTCACCAGTCAAACTTTTGCCCTGGGCCTTTAGCCATTAGCACTGCCATTATCTACAATGACACAATCAAGGCAGGGACAAAAAGAGTTGGAACAATAAGTCTGTAATACAGACTGCATATTTGCTCACAGCTGATCTCATGGGCTGGTTCCTTCCCTGAATGCTATCCTGTGGGGGAGCTCACAAAGCATCAAGAGCAAGGGTAAGTGCCAGTTCCCTGGAAAGTCAAGGATGCATGCCTCATATAGGCAGGAGGGGACTCTTGACCCCTCAGAATAAATAAACTCATGATACAATTTTTTCAGAAGCAGCATTCAGTTAAAGCTGCTCATGGATTGTACTCACTATTTCATAGGATCTGGGCCTTTTGAGAAGTGCCATTGGAATGCAGACTTCTGACAGTTAGATGTCCAAAATGTTAAGCCATTTAAGCATATATCCTCTTTTTAACATCTTTATTGGAGTATAATTGCTTTACAATGGTGTGTTAGTTTCTGCTTTATAACAAAGTGAATCAGTTATACATATACATATGTTCCCATATCTCTTCCCTCTTGCGTCTCCCTCCCTCCCACCCTCCCCATCCCACCCCTCTAGGTGGTCACAAAGCACCGAGCTGATCTCCCTGTGCTATGTGGCTGCTTCCCACTAGCTATCTACCTTACGTTTGGTAGTGTATATATGTCCATGCCTCTCTCTCACTTCGTCCCAGCTTACCCTTCCCCCTCCCCATGTCCTCAGGTCCATTTTCTATGTCTGTGTCTTTATTCCTGTCCTGCCCCTAGGTTCTTCATGACCTTTTTTTTTTTTCTTAGATTCCATATATATGTGTTAGCGTACGGTATTTGTTTTTCTCTTTCTGACTTACTTCACTGTGTATGACAAACTCGAGGTCCATCCACCTCACTACAAATAACTCAATTTTGTTTCTTTTTATGGCTGAGTAATACTCCATTGTATATATGTGCCACATCTTCTTTATCTATTCATCTGTCAATGGACACTTAGGTTGCTTCCATGTCCTGGGTATTGTGAATAGAGCTGCAATGAACATTGTGGTACATAAGCATATATCCTCTTAACAGAGGCACTGGCCCATTTGGTAATCCAGCTGTGGTGATACATCCTCCTCACGGCATTTGTTTTAGTTTTAGCTAGCACTTGCCTGGCATTTATCTCTGGGAAGTGATGCTATTCTGCAATTAAGCGGCCAGCCCATTGGCAGTGAAGGGAGGGATTCAATGTGAGCACCAGGACCAAGTGGTCTGTTGAGGTGGTTTGAAACTGAACTCTGTGTCAGTAAAAACGATCCGGTTTTTTTAATTGCAAAAATAATGCAAACATGTTCTCTTTAAAATGTAAGCAATATAGAACTACAGTAAAGGCAAAGGGAGAGTTCCCCACAGTCCCATCTCTCAAGGATAACCATTGTTAACAGTTTGGCATATCTTATTTCAGACCCTTTTTTATACATCTGCTGCACCTATATTGTATGTATATATCTATAAGCATTATAGATTTATGTTTTTTGAAATGGGGATTCAACTCTACTGATACTGTGCAGTGTGCTTCATTCACTCAACTGGATACAGTCCACTACTAGCACTGGGGAGAAGGCATGACCTCACTCCTAGTCTAGTGCCAGTTCCTCCTGAGCAGCTTCCTGCCAGGGTAGTACCAGGGCCTCCCAAAGAGAGCCTGCAATGGTACTATAAGAATTTGGGGGTCCCTTCTACCACCTTTATAAATATTTACTGTGACAGCAACTTGGGATTTCTTTAAGGATCCCATAGTGCTCTTCAGCCAAGCCCTAGTATCCAGGTTCACAGTTAGGAAAGTTGCTACTATGCTACTAACATAAAGATGAAGCAAACCCTAAGGGTCAACAGATTTGTTTTTGTTTTTATATTGGTGTGTGTGTGTGTGTGTGTGTTTGTGACAGAGAGAGAGAGAGAGAGAGAGAGAGAGGAGTGGGGAGAGGGAGCAGAGAAGTAGGAACACAGAGCATTCTCTATTCCTGTCACTTTTCCTTTGTGAACTAAGACGGGTGTGAAGACTTCTGCTCTGGTGGCAGCCATTTCTGCCTCCCTCTCTTCCCCAAAGGCTTTGTAGCTTCAGTGGGCCTGAACGTAACATCACCAGCACTGATAAGCCATCATTCAGCTGGCTGCAGACCCAAGCCTCTCCGCATGACCGACACCAGCTCTTTCCCAGAGAAAGCTTGGTGGCGATCAATCTCAAAAACATCATGCTAAGTGAAAGAAACTAGTCACAAAAGACTATATATTGTACAATTACACATATATGAAATTTCCAAAAACTGCAAAATCACAGTGAAAACGATCTGAGTCAGGGTTTGGGAGTAAAGATTGACTGCAAAGGGGCACAAAGGAACCTTTGTGGGGGGGTGATGGAATGTTCTAAAACTGAATCGTGGTGACAGTTGCACTATTGTATAACTTTACTAAAATTCATCAACGTGTACATGTAAAATAAGTGAATTTATTGTATGTAAATTATGCCTAAATAAAGCAGTTATGAAATACAGAAACAAAAAGAAATTTCAGTGGACTCAGGCAGTCCAAGCAGAAGGCTTCCATCTGTAATCCACTCAACCGACACATACACACACACAGGGAGGGGAAGGTCGACCCCACGCCTAGCACACACACGTGCGCGTCAGCATTCTAAAGCAACATTGGGGAAGCCAGATTAGGAAGGTGGGACTGGTTCTGAATGGAGATGTCCTCTCTGTCCCACAGATCTGTACCAGTGATGTAGAATGTCTCATGAGCAGACTCCAGCATACCTTCAAGCAGGAAATGACTGGAGTTGGAGCCAGTCTGGAGAAGAGATGGAAATTCTGTGGCTTTGAGGGCTTGAAACTGACCTGAATCCCTTTGCCTGACAACCTGGGATCCTGAAAATAAATGTGTGTTGGACAAGCTTAGAAAGTGATTTGTATTTTCAATGGTTTTCAAGTGGAAATTGCTTTAAATTTGTCAATTCATTCCTGGAATATCTTTTGACTTAAAATAAGGATCCTAGAGCAGCACCTCAAGCTACAGGCCCTGGAAAGAAATTGACTCAAACCTCAAGTGCTGTAACTTCCTCCTTTTCTGTCAATTGGTTGTCTCTTTTTATTAGTAGTATTTAAAAAGGCCTGAGGCTACAGAGTATTTGGGGTGTTTTCAGTGTCTGTACTACTGTTGTAGACTTTAGTATTTTTTTAAACACTGTTAACTGAAATGTTTTGATGATTTATATGTGATTTGTGTTTCAGAACTTCTCTTCACATTAATGTTGCTACTGGTGAGAGGAATGAAAGGAGCACTAGGGACTCCATAACTGACATTGTCTTTCCAATTCCCAGTAGGCCAGTAAGTGAATAACATATCAGTGTCTGCTAGAAGGTGCTTGACCAGGTTCACCTTTTAAAAGACAAAGCATGGTTTGTGGCTTTTTACAAAATTACTGTGAACGAAAAGTTGACAAATGTTTCAAAGTTATTTTCTCTAATGTATCAGATAAAAGGTTTATTTCAGAATTTTTAAAAAACTAGATGTATTCACAGAAAGCAAGTGTCCAGTATGACTGGCATGTGTATGTGGTATTCAGAGTCACCTTGTAAATAGCCTGCTTTTAAAGGAGGGCATGTTTAGTTTTCTATGAATTAAAACACACGTGTGTGCTCACAAACACACACACACACACACACACACATTAGCAGAAGGGATTTATTTTGATATGCTTCCCCTCTGGTCTTCTTACAAAGTCTGGTGGTCCCTTTTCTTCTGCTGTCAGTGTGTTGAATTGCAAACCATGTACTGCTGTAAATACTATGTTTACTTCATGCTGAATGTCTGCAAAGAGTTGATATGAGTATTAATAGAAAATTCCTGGTAATGAATAAATAGTAGGCTAGGGTGTGTGAAGCTTTGCACAAATAGGTCGGCTCCACCTAGAGTCCTGAGAACTGGGACTCCTGTAGTTCTGCAGTGCCCACCAGCAGATTACAATGGCAGAGTGTGCGTGGACCAGTCAGGAAGTCCTGGCTGATGGAAAAGAAATGGAAAGGATGAGAACTGGGGACTAATATCCTGAGGCAGAGATGGTATTTTCTTCTGTGGTGTTGGTGGTGCTTGTAATAACATAAGCATGCCCTCCCTTGAGTCTTGATTGAAAATAAGAGAATGTACTAAGCAAAGTCAGTGAAGAGTATTTCACAAAAATACTTTGTAAATCACATGTCAGTAGTGTTCAAAGTTGTATTTTTAAAAGATAAATATTCCTTTTTTATACCTCAGTTTGGTGTCCTGTTTTGAATTGCTTGCTCTCTAAGTAATCCTTTAGTAAATCATCTCAATTTCTTCCTTTGAGTTACCAGAATATTGGAAGAAGATGCTAAATCTTCTGCTTTGACAGCTAGAAAACAGGATTCCACAGCAGCCCATTCATGCTGAAAGCTGGCTTCCCCCTAAGCAACCAGCTGTGGCACCAGCAGGAAGCGAGGGTTATTCTTACAGTAGCTTCCTCAATGAAGCATCGCTGTCATCAACGCTACAGAAGGCTTTGATTCATCAGTCTCAGGGGTCGTGCAATACCTTGTTTTAATAACACCTATGAAATAGGGGAAATTTGCCACTTAACAATTATTTCTTATTTAAATAAGTTAAATAAAATGCATTTAAAGCAACTGCCACACCCAGGCCCCTTGCTCTCCTTCACTTGATCTACTTGTAGTACAAATGCTCTCTTCCTATTATTCCTGCCAACTTAGTCCAGGTGTACTTCTCCCAGCCTGCTTGAATATACTAGTTGTAATGGTGAATTTTGTGTGTCAAGTTGGCTACACTGTAGTGCCCTGTTGCTTGGTTGAATACCAGTCTAGATGTTGCTGTGAAGGTATTTTTGAGATGTGATTAACATTTAAACCAGTAGACTTTGAGTAACATATCTTACCCTCCATAATGTGGGTGGGCCTCATCCAATCAGTTGTAAAAGACTGAAGTCCTCCAAGGAGAAAAGAACTGTGCCTCCAGATTACTTTGGACTCAAAACTGCAGCATTAACGCCTGCCAGAATTTCCAGACTGCCAGCCAGCCCTGCAAAATGTCAAACTTTCCAGCACCCGAAATCACATCAGCCAATTCCTTAAAATAAATAAATAAATACATATATATATATATATATATTTATACACACACACATATATACATATGTGTATACACATACATATATATACATATATATGTATGTATGTATATATGCATCCCATTGGTTCTATTTCTTCGGAAAGTCCTAATGCACTAGTCCAGAGTTGTTCAAAATGTATAAAAATAGAGTATGGGGACATATGTATGCATATGGCTGATCCACTTTGGTGTACAACAGAAACTAACACAGTATTGTGAAGCAATTATACTCCAATAAAGATCTATTTTAAAAAAGAGTAAAGGAGAATGCTACAGCAGTGTTAAAAAAATAGAGTATGTTTGCATTATATTACATAATCAAATTGCAGCACATACCATCTCTCACAATCCTTTTCATTCACCATAGAAATCTATTAAAGAAGCTATTTTTCCTTACAAATGCTATTTATTGTTCTGTTGTTCCTCCTGAATTTTGAAATTTTACTGTTTTGTTATTTTTAGGAGATACAGTAGTTAGATTTTTCCAGATAATAATGAATAGAAGCATTCTTTTATTTTACAAATGATTATTTCATCTCCCTTCCTAGTCCTGTGACATCACCAGTTCTGATTTTTTAATATTACCAAGTTGCTTGTTAAATGTCTTCAATGCAAATGGAAAAGTTAGTTTTCAGAGCAAATCTTGGATGCATATCTGTGTTCAAGTTATACAGTGTTTCATATTTAATTGTGCCCCAAAATGTATGCTTTTCATATAATGCAGAATAAACTATGTTACTTGAAAAGACAGCATAGATGTGCAAGACCTTTTGACTCACCTGGTAGGACTGGGTGAGCCCTTCGGATTCTTAGCTGTCTTGGACAGTCTATCAAAAAGACCTGGATTCACTTTTCACAACTGCTACCATCTACTGAGCAACTGTTATGCTCTCATGCTGCCTAAAGTCATTTACCACCTGTGGACACAATGGGAGCTTCCATTTTTTAAATTAAGGAGAAATAGTACCTTCCCCAGAGAGTGGTGGTCAAGATTCAATAAGATAGTACCTGAAAATTGCTCAGCCAGTGCCTCGCCCAGAGTGCATTCACAATAAAGAGTTATGATTTTATGATTATGGTTCAGTCAAAAGTAATTAAGAGTCGTGACCTTGCTCTCATTTTAAGAAAAATGTTTTTGTGTTCACACCTAGAATTGTGGGGCTACATCATGTTGCTAGGCCTCAAGAAAGGAAATTCAGCTGTTTAAACATATTCGGAACATTAACTCAGTCCCAGGCACTCTGCCAGACACTGTGGTATACAAGAACCTAGGGGCAGGACAGGAATAAAGACGCAGACGTAGAGAATGGACTTGAGGACATGGGGAGGGGGAAGGGTAAGCTGGGACGAAGTGAGACAGTGGCATGGACATATATACACTACCAAACGTAAAATAGCTAGCTAGTGGGAAGCAGCCACATAGCACAGGGAGATCAGTTCGGTGCTTTGTGACCACCTAGAGGGATGGGATAGGGAGGGTGGGAGGGAGATGCAAGAGGGAGGGGATAGGGGGATATATGTGTATGTATAGCTGATTCACTTTGTTATGCAGCAGCAACTAACACAACAATGTAAAGCAATTATACTCCAATAAAGATGTAAAAAAGAAAAAAAGGAGCATGGCTGGCCCTTGCCCTCAGGGAGCTAGAAGGGTAGGCTTTAACACACTGAGCTTAAATTCTTCATCGTTTACTACAACTGTGAAACAAACGTAGATAGCACTTCCTTGTTTCAGCTGAGACTCTGAGTTGAGAAGTTCCTAAAAGGCAGAGATAAGATTTGAATCTTGGTCTGCCCAACTGAAAACTCAAAACTTTCTAATGGCCCAGTATCTTATTTAACCTCCATATCAACCCAATTGCTAAGAATTATTATAAACCCTACGTTGTATTCAATACATTCACATGCCATTATAGAGAACCTGGTATGTACAAGCCTTGGTCCTAGAAATTCAAAAGGGAACAAAGTATGACCTCTTCCTTCAAGAGTGGACACTCTGGTGGGGATGCCTGCTAAATGACACAGTCGTGTACAAGATTCTGCAGGAGGGACATCAGGAAGGTTCACAAATGTCAGGAAGTGTGAAATATGGTAAGAAGAGAAAACAGGCTCAGAAAGGTTAAACATCTAGTATGTGACAAAGTCTAGGATTTGAGCCCAATCTGCCTGGCTTCAATTTATTCTCTATCATACCGTGGTCCCCAAGGCCACTTTCTAACACTGTCACTTAACCTCTCTGAGCCTTTGTTTTTTCATCTATAAAGTGGAAATCTAAGTGTACTTCCCTCAAAGGGTCATTTAAGAGGCTTTGCTCAGTGCAAAGTGCCCGGTACTAACTATGCTTGGCAAAATACATACTCAGTAAGGAGCTATAATAATTATTCAACTAATAATCATATTAACAATGCTTTAATGACACCAGAGCTACCTTTCCAGTATTGGGAATCCCATAGGGCCACAGGTAACTCAAAAGAAGAATGAGACTGGCTGGTTCAGAAAAATTCAGGAGGTTTTACTGAACGATGCTCCATCAGAGGTAAGTAATGCCTGGCCCAAGCCTGACATAGGGAAGAAACTTCCTTCTGCTGTCTTATGATACAGTCTCCAGTAACCTTCCAATTTTACCCCTCCTATCACAGGACAGACCACATGTCATAAACAAGGCGGCCAGAGGGGCCTTAATCTTCTTTCCCATATCCCAAGATCCATAACACCATTCCATTCTTCCAGTTTGGCAGGAAGCTTTGAAGATCTCAGCTTGCCTAAATTTTCTATCTGGGTGGAAGATCTCAAAGGCATACTGAAGCAATTGCTTAGGGCAACAGAAGGAAGGAAAAGGAATTGATCACACACAAGTACAAGCATTCAAGGCTGTATAACCTTATGGAGATGATCTCAGATCTTGGGTAGAAAATGGATGCAGGACATAAGAAAGAGTGTTCTTTACCTAACTGTGCTCACTCCAAGTCTGTTTGAATATTAGATTACCCTAAAATTGATAGATCTCTGGAGCATCAGACCTCTGCAACCTTACTCCTCAACAAATACCTCATATTGTGCTTCAAAGTGTTTTCAAACCAACTCTGTACACAGACATTATGTCATCTGGTCTTCACAACACCCTGCAGGGGCAGATGGTTCCCTCCCCATTATTGCCATGAAGGAAAACAAGTCTCAGAAAGAGAAAAGCCATACCCCAGGTCACACAGCTACGTGGATGGTGGAGCTGGAGTGAGAATGCAGGACTCCACTGAGTCCTCCCAATTTCCACCACCCTTCAGAGCCTCTGCCTTGTATGGCTGAGAGAGTATAAAGGAGGGGTTCTTAATTTTTGGTGCCATGTACCCCTTGGGAAATCTGGTGAAGCCTGTGAACTCTCTATCAGAATAACATTTTTAAATACATGAAATAAAATACAAAGGAAACCAACTGTATTGAAATAATACCCTTATCAAAACACATGTGTGACATAGTAGCATATGTGCTCCTATAACACATTAAATAGCAACGTGCAATGACAGGTCTAATAACTACTGTAATTCTGAAGTAGATAAACATAAATATTTCAAAAAATCTGCAATAACTTGTGATACGATAATATCTGTGATACTTGTGAAAAAGTCACAGGTCCTGCTAATACTTCTGTACTTTGTTCACCTACATTTATAATGGAAGAAAACTCTAAACTTCAGTTAGAGGTTAGTGAAAATCTAAACGTATTTTTTCCATCCAAATTCACACACTTCCTAAGTTCTTCCCACAGTCTCTAGGTTAAGAAAAGAAACTCCTGATAGAGGAGGTTGATGAAATATAAAGTGAGAGCACCCAAAGTGGCACCAGGATTAGTTTCATTAAATATATTAACGTTTATAAATTAGAACAGTGCCCATCACATAGTAGCAATAAATTTTACAAATGATAGAGATACTGATTTTTTTGTACATTTTGAAATGGTGAAATTCTAAGTCAATACAAAACTGGCAGGAGAGTCCCACAAGTCTGTATTTCTGGGTGAAGAAGTGACAGATGAGCTTCAATGTGAGCAAACACAAAGTACTGCATTTAGGAGAAAATGAGACAAATGCTATTCACAAGATGTTAGTCTCCAAAC